CATATTTACTCACCTCAACATTGTTTCAATCCTTTGATTTTCAAATTTTAAAAGAAAAGCATGATACGACGCCATGTTTACATACAAAATTAATATGCAAATGAGTGCCTCGCTTTCATGAGTGCGACTTCGTTGGGGGTGATATTCTGATTTTGACCCAAGCCTTAACATACTTGAGTACATGCCAGTCCATCCATGGTATTCACCCATGGAGTATATATCGAAAACTCGCTAGCGAGAAATTTGAGAACAAAAACTCGCTAGCGTGATGTTTGTCGTAAAGTAAACACACTAGTGAGAATGTACAAAGAACTTGCTGGCGATTACTGAGCCTAAAATATAAAAATTTGAACCCCAAAATTTTTATATTTCCACTCTGTAGGAACTTATCTGAACCAAAACAAATTTCAACCCTCTAAAAACATTTCGATCCCTTTTGGCAGCAACAACATCCATAGATGATTAAATGACGCTTTTGACACCCGACTTGGGAGTGGCTGGGCTGTCACATGTGTATGGCGCGATGATGGCGGCCACGCGGACATTGAGCTCCGTGGTTTTAAATCTTTTAACTATATATTTACTAGCCTCTCTACTTCAAAGACCTTTCCAAATTCAATAGTATTCATTACTTGAATTCAAGATTGATGATTCCACTGGAACTAAGTCATTTAGCAGTAATATTGGATGGAGTATTCTTGCAAAACTTCATGGCAGGTTCGTCAGGTGTAATATCAAGAATGGTAATTGCTTTAAATCTCGACTACCGGCGAGTAAATGGACCAAACATGGCCAAACTTCTCTACTTATTCCTGGCCACGATCCACCTTTTGATATCACTGTCTTTTCAGATATTTCACCAAATCCTGGACCACTACATGCGATAAACTTTCAAGCTTCGAATAATTTGCATAAAAACTCTCAAAAACACACTTCGAATACAATGAAATATTCTAGAGACAAACTTTTCAAAATTCGACGCACTTCTTCATGTACTCTTACTGATTCAAATTACTGGGATTTGAAAACTACAGATCTTTTTCATTCAAGAGGAAAAAGGGTTGGATGTAAACCATCAAACAGGAATATTAAAGTTAGAATTTCTACAATCAACAATCCATCTTCTAAAGAGAACAACAGCTATTGTACACAGGACGAAAACCAAGGTGT